GATGGCAGCACCCCAATTTTGCAGACAGGGAACAGCTGCCACCTCGTGCTTGCTTTATGCTTCGCTGCTATGCGGTGAGAGTCTGTCCCGAACGATGGAGCCGGGTGATGGAGAGGGGAATGTTTGGGAAATGAAAAGGAAGCGCTGGGCCTTCTTGAGAAGCTGCTTCAGGGCCGCCCAGGTGGAAGGAGGGAGCTGCGCAGCAGAGCACGCTTGGACCGGCCACCAAGAAAAGAGCTTGCCAGAGAGTAGCTGGCTTCCTTGGGGTGGGAGGCGAAAGGCAACAAAGGAGGGGTTTGGGCCAGCAAAGGTTGGTTCTGGCTCTGCACAGCTCAATGCGTCCCAAAGGTCCTTTTTCCAAGAGGCAACTGAACTTTCCTCTTTTTTCTCCTGCAAGAAGCTCTTTCCGCTCCGACTGGGTGGAGGGGAGCGGAAGGATTTATACGAAAACGTCTTTCAGGAGAGACCAAGGAAGCCCAGCTGCCTCTGGGAAGAACCCCTTTGGGACAACCTCCGTCACCCGGATGACGGAGGATTCCTGCTTAGAGGGGTCGGGGGGGGGGGGCAGGTCAGACACGGGGAAGCTGACGGAACGAGGCCTCCTTGCGCTGCTCTTGCAGCAACCCCCCCTCCTCCCCCCAGCGCAGGACACTTACGCTGATGACGCCGGGCAAATCGACCAGCACCATCCTCTGCAAGCCAGGACCCTTGACGCTGAGCGAGATGGTCTGCAGGGGAGACAGCGCAGCATGAGAGAGAGGGGGGGGGGAGAGAACCCGTTTCTGGAAAGGCCCCTGTGTGGGAGTGGGGAGGGGTCCGGGGGGCCCCAGGCCTCACCTCTGAGCTGACGGTGCAGCTGCTGCCCACGCTCTTCTTCATCCGGATCTCGATCTCGTTCCGCAAGGCCGCCAGCTGTTTCAGCAGAAGCAGAAAGGGGCGGAGTCAGAGGGAGGAGGGAGGGGCTGAAGGAAGGGGGCCGAGGGCACGGCAACCAAAAAGAGAGCAATCAGGCCGTGGGTCGTTCTTGACTTACGGCCCTGCATTTAATGACCGCTCAAAGATATGACTGCGCTGAAAAAGGTGGCTTACAACAGGTCCTTGGACCTACGACCGTCACAGGCGTGTCACATGATCAAAATCGATGTGCTTGTGCAACATCAAACGTGATCGGCATCTGCAACCTTCCCAGCTGGCTTCCCACCAGCAAAGTCGCTGCAGGAAGCCAGATTCACTCAACAACTGTGTGATTCCCTTAATCCCAGTGGCAAAAATGATCATAAAATCGGGTGGATCTGTTCAACGACTATATTGCTTAGCTATGGAAGTTCTGGTCCCTGCTGAGGTTGTAGGTTGAGGCCTGCCTGTGCAGAGAGGAGAGGCATCCAGAGAGGGGAGGGTGCTTCACAGAGAAGCAGGCCTCACCTAGAGGGCTTTTATCAGGCCCTCCCTGAAGTGACCCTGAAGCATTTCCTGAGCAACGGAGCCAGCTGTTAACTGGGCAGAGGCTGTTGGGCAACGGATCAGTTCAACCGGCCCTCTGGGACACTGGCCACGGTCCGAATTCACACAGAAAACGCTCCAGGCACTTCCCCTCGCCTGGAACGCTGCGATTCTGCCCCCTCCTCAACAACCTTCTCCCAAGAAGGGGAACTGGGAGGTACAGCTAGAATTCCACGGCCTCTTCCAGCGACACGGGGCCGGCCAGGGCCCCTTCTGGAATGAGCTGACCTCTCTCCACAATGACTGGCCAACATTTCTTGCGACCCCTGGCAGATGGTTCATCCTGCGGGGAAAAACCGAAGCCCCCGGGGCGCCTTCTGCTCCTTGAAACTTACATCTTCCTCCTTGTTCAAATCGAACTCGCGAGAACTGTCCTTGAAGACGGCCACGTGGTGGGGACCTTCGCTGAGGGTGACCTGAGGCCCAAAGGGGATTCAAAGAAGGGAAAGCGTTAAAGCACCGGGGGGGGGTCTCCCGGGGGCAGGCTCTCCCTCTGGAAAGCTCATGGCTCGGGGCCTGCAGTGTTCCTACCTTGACAGGCGAGCGTGTCATCATTTCTCCCGAGCCCCGAGGGAAGATCCGGGCTTGAGCGATCATTTCCAGCACGCTGGTTTTGCCAGCACTCTGGTCTCCCACCACAACCACCTGAAAGGCAAATGCTGGTTGGTTTCTCCGGAGAAATGGGGGCGAATGGCGTTTTTATCCATGGCTCCAGAACCCTGCTTCTATCCAAGGCAGCTGCTTCTTGAATCCCAAACCAAAGTTCCACTAGAAAAGACCCAGCGACATCAAGGTAAATTCCATCTAGATATAGTCTACTTGGGAAGCCCCCAAAGCAGCCAATTACTGCCTACCCCAGTGGTTCCCAAACTTGGCAACTTTAAGACTTGTGGACTTCAACTCCCAGAATTCTCCAGCCAGCAGAGCTTAAAGTTGCCCAGTTTGGGAACCACTGGCCTACCCTAACAATTTGGGCTTTATCCACTATCCCATCACTATAGCACTAGTAGCAGCTCTTAAAACTTACCGTATATCCCGCTTCACAGAGCTCTCCAGCCCTCTCTAAGCCGTCTACAGAGTCAGCCTCTGGCCCCCAACAATCTGGGTCCTCATTTTACTGCCCTCGGAAGGACGGAAGGCTTGAGCCTGGTGAGATCTGAACTGCCAAACTGCAGGTAGTCGGCAGTCAGCGGAAGAAGGCTGCAGTACTGCATTCTAACCACTGTGCCTCCAAGGCTCACAGCAACCTTCCTTTTCCTCACAGCTCAACTGGAAGGTGTGAAGCTGCCCATTTCCGGTGTGAATGCCAATGCCAACCCTGGCCTGTATGGAAATCGCCGAACAGGCGGCACACCGGAGTAGGGAGACCAAAGGACCATCTAAGAAAACGGGGCCTCCCTAGCAGAGATGCTCTGTGTGAATGTGGAGGAGAACAACCCATCTCACACTGGCAACGCGGCACACACCACGGCCTCCAGCAGGCATGGAGGAAAACCTCCCGCCGGCGAGAGAAAACGCGGCCAACGTGGCTGGGCGAATGTCACTTAGTTATAATCGTATTTGTTCTACCTACTTTTTACTCAGGTTGTAGTTCAATGACCCATTTTATATGCTCATGGTTGAAGCCCAAAGGTGCTTCTGCAAAAGCTTTGCTTCTCACTCTAGAAGCTTCTTCAGTTCTGGATAAGAAGCGAAACATCTTCAAGCAAAACCAAGAGAGTCCAGTTGCCTTTTGCAAAAGCACCTTTGGGACCCCCAGGGCAGCGGTGGGTTGCAGGCGGTACGCCCAGTACGGACATACCAAAGCCTGCCCGGAACACCAGGTACCGTTCCGGCCCTGGTTCCCCACCTGCCCGCCCTCGCTCCTTACCTGTCTTTAAAGTCTTTGGCGCTTCCACGCACGGCGCTTCCAGTGCATGCGCGACGCTCCACTGAGCAGCTGGAGAGTCGCGGAGGCGTCACTGAACAGTAAGACTTGTGTGTGCGTGCTAGGCGTGTCCATGTGGACGCCGCCGGGCCCGTTCCAACCATACCGTTTGGAACGGGATCCGGAACCCAACACTGCCCCAGGGCCCGGATGAGAAAGAACCTGCACAGACAAGGGGAGCGGAAGCATCTCCCTCGCAGGGACACTGGTCTAAGGTTTATCTCAATCATCCAGGTCATGTTTGTCCCCAAAGTGCTTTTCCCAAAAGTCACCTGGGCTTCCTTGGGCTTTTGCCTCCCACATTCCTGGATGAGAAGCAAAATGTCTTCAAGGGGGGAAACAATGAAAGTCCAGTTGGGGAAAAAGCAGGTTTGGGGCCCCAGGGCCTGCAGGACGGAGAGCCTCCACAGACACTCAGGGTGGAATGACACACCACCAGGTGCCATTCTGGGTTGAATGACGTAGGTCTCTATGTCTAGGTGCTTCTGACAAGGATGAAGAAAAGCGTGAACGCGGAGGCTCATCCCCCACTTACCCGAGGCAAGTGATCGTGGGTATTGTAACTAGCATCGTAGTCTGACAGAGTATCCAGGACTTCGGAGTACATGTCAATCAAAGATTTCTAGGGAAGAAACAATGAAGGGCGTGAGGCCAAAGCCCAGGGAAGAAGGCGGGCCGCCACTCTCACGCTCCAATCTCTTCTCACAACGATAGACCCACACGGGGAGCCACTGGAGTGGGAAGGTTTCCCCCCAGTCAGGCAGGGAGGGAGGGATGCTGTGGGACCCCCTCAGCCGAGGGACTCTGACTGGTGGGGGTCTAGGCGGAGGGGCTTCCCTGCCACTGCCACCCATGGGAGGGGGTGTTTTTAACAAAGTGAAAACCGCCACCAGAAATACGGCAGGAGCAAGGGAGGCCCCCTGCCTCCCTTACCTTCACCTTCCGCTGATGGATGCCCTTCTCGTCCTTCTGCAGGACTATCTTCCTCAGCTCTTTGTTCTCCTTCTCTAGGCGCTCGAGCATCCGCTGGTATTTCAGCTGCCAAGAGACCCAAAGGGGGGGGGGATGTTAAAGACTTGGGAGGGAAGAGCAGGAGGAGGAGGGAGGGAGGGAGATGAAACAGGTGGCCCAGGCTGCTGCTCTATCTCACCCAGCCCAATGGGGAACAATCACATAAAGAAAAACAGAACAACAAGAAGGGGCCTTGGAGGTCTTCTAGTCCAACCCCCTGCTCAAGCAGGAGACCCTATACCATTCCAGACAAGTGGCTGGCCGGTCAATAAAATAAAACTGCCAGCGGTGGGGCACCCAAGTCCTTCCACTGATTAATTGTTCCAACTGTCAGGAGGTTTCTCCTTAGTTCTAGGTTGGATCTCTCCTCGATTAGTTTCCATCCGTCGCTTCTTCTCCAAAAGATCTTGGACTCCTTCAAAATATTGAGTTTTGCTTCCCAGGAAAGGCAATTCAATAAGGGCGCTTTTAGGAGGTGTTTGGGGTCACCCTCCACCTTGCCAGGGTCTTTCCCCAGAAATCTTCATCTTCTGGAAGGGGAAATTAAGCAGGGCGGTTCACCGGGATGGAAAACGCAGAAAGCTTCAGGGTTAGAAACTGGCCTTCATCTGGACGGGCAGCCTGGACCTCCCCTGTTCCCAAGGGGCTGTCAAAAACACACTTCTAAGAAGGCAAAATCACTGGTAATGCAGACAGCCTCCCCCACTGAAAAGGAAGCCAGGCACGTAAATATTCAGGACAGGGGTATCTAACCATGGCAACCTTCAGACTGGGGGACTTCAACTCCCAGAATTAAGCCCACCTGTCTTAAAGTTGCCAAGCTTGGAAACCTCCGGTTTAGGATTTGTTTTGTTTTTTTTAAAGACATTGACAAAAATATCCCAATTAGTATCAACGTGTAGATAAATGATATATTAAATACCACTGAGATATATTTAAAAATGAATCTGATTGTATTTTTAAATGGACCCCCCCCCACCCCTCCGCAAACCTCAGTGGCAAAAGAAAATGCCAAGGATTAGAACCGAAGATATTTTTAAATATCCTAAAAGAGTTTCTGTCAGCTCTAAAGAACCGAGAGTGACAGGTGACGCTCCTTCTGAGCAGTTTATTTCCATTTGCCTACAGACAGAATCTGTAACCATCTGCAATGACCACAGACGCCCTCTGTGAATGGCTAGGGAAGGGATGTCCTCAGCCTCTTCCTGCCCACCAGGCATTCCAAGGCCTGCTGCCTCTTTGTCCTCTGGGAGGGAGACCCTCCTGGGACCCCAAACTAAATTCTACCACAGTTTTCAACAACTGGACATGGGTGATAACGTTTGTTGCTGCAGCTGAGTTGGGAATTAAGAACACTGAGTGGATCTCCGGCTTTATCTCAAAGGCACAGCAGTGACTGGCCCAAGCCTGGCACATGTGGAATCTCACCCACAGAGCAGCGCCCTCCCCAGGGATCAAAAGTTCACTGATCTTGCTTTGTTTTCTCCCAAGTCATCCGGCCAATTAAGATCCTGGCCTCTCAACAGCCGCCAAGTTCCCTTACCTGCGTCCGCAGCAATTCTTCCTGGAGCTGATCGACCTTTTCTTTATCAGAAACCTGCAACGGCAAAGAGACACAGAAGGCACGGTGGGCATTTCGGATGCCACCTAGGCCTATTTCGTGGGATAAAAATTGATTTAGCCTTTTGGCTGTTTAAACCTTTGTTAGATTGAGGAGTCCCGCAGGAGTGGGTGGCTATACAAGCTGAAATTATAAATAAAATCCAGGTGCCAACGATCCTAAGCTTTAAGAGTCATTGTTTTACAAGAACAATTTGGTCAAATCGGACAGCTTGGACTTGAAAGGAAACTCATCCCTGCAGCATTTCGCTATACTTACCCAGGTGCCTTATTTCTAAAAGCAGCTGTGGATTTATTAGCAGTGCACTTGAGAAAGCTACTAACCTCGGGAACCGTACTTTTCTAAATGAAAATACCTTTTAAGTATGCACTAATAATACGGCTAATTCCATCCATCCCTGCTCAAAAAATTAAAAAATCTGCTGAGCTATCAATAAAGAGGTTTTTAAAAACGATACTCGCTAGGCTTTACAATTTGGGGAAAATATTTGCTTTATTTTCATTAATATCTCTTCCATGCACTTCACACCATTGGTTGCGCTTCAGAAAGCTTCAACTAGGCACAGGTCCACCGCGTTTTAACAGGGGCTATTCAAACGTTCAAAATAACTAGTGGTCTAAACTTGAGAGAGGAAAAAAAATGTTCTTTCCTTCTTTATACGGTGCATCAGAACGGTGCTCTGTCCCTCCTGTGTGCACAGAGCCTGCAGCCATCCAACAGGCAGAGCCTCTCCGTCTGAATGCTTTCAACTGCCATCAGCCCAAAAGCAGCCCTGGGCAGCAGCTGCCGGAGGGGCGATGGCCCACCAGCTACCAGGGAGAGTTGGACGCAGTGAAGGCAATGCAGCCGGTCTGTTCTCACCTGAGCCTCTCTTACACTCCAAAGCGGTGGGCAGATTTTACAGCATGGCTGAGAAGCACCCAGAATAATCACCCGGCTGTGCAAAAGGTTTTCTGCTTTCTGCACCTCCTGCTTCTCCAGGACAATACAATAGCAGAGTTGGAAGGGACCTTGGAGGTCTTCTAGTCCAACCCCTCGCCTAGGCAGGAAACCCTATACCGTTCCAGACAAATGCCTATCCAGCATCTTTGAACCATCTTTGAATCATTGAACTCTTGGCCAATTCTAATCTCTTTTTCTTTGCTTCATGAACAATCAGCCATGTGCAAGGAATCAGAAAAAAAAGCACCTCCTTTATTTAAATATGTGACTGAAGATGTTCACTTTTGTCAAGCAAGAGCCCTCTGCTCAAAGGCAGGAGTGCCCTACTGTGGCAGCTTTTAAGACTTGGGGACTTCAACTCCCAGAATCCCCCAGGCATGCCGTCAGCCCTTGAATCACCCTCTGTCTGTCAGCTGGAGGCTCACAACTGAACTTGAACGGATGGCCACCTCCAGCCACGGAGCACTCACAGCCTCTGGAGGCAGGTCCACGGCTGCATGGCTGGTGGGGGATTCTGGGAGTTGGAAGTCCACAAAGTCTTGAGGTTTCCAAGGTCGGACACTCCTTGGCCTAAGACCCAAAGGGCAGGCAGATGGGAAAGACCCTGAGAACAGACCAGGAGGGCTTCGCCACAGCCGCTTCTCCCACGGCTGCTCCCTTGCAGCTGGGACTGCCGGGGAGGCCACCAAGGCCGTCCAGACGGGAGCCACGCTTTGGTCTGATCCACTCTTAACGCCATCTCCGTGGTGGCAGCAATTAAAGCTCAGTCCTGAGCCTCGGGCTGACAAAGAAAGGAGGACTCCACGTGCCGGTGGGCCGGAAGCAGAGCCAGACGAAGAAGCTCCGTGCCACTCAGCCCAGGGGAAAGAGGGCAGCCGTCTTCCAAGTACCCGAGCAGCTCCTTGGAGGACAGGAGTCATCATCTGCCTCTGCAGCGGGAGGACAGGAGCCGGCGCTCCAGGCTGCCAGAGGAAGAAGCAGGGCTGCTACAGCAGAGCCACCCCTGGGTGATGCCCT